TCGACGATATAATATATGTATCGTTATATATACATGTATGTATATAATAACCTTTATATCAAATTTTTATACGATTCCTGTATTGTTGAAATGATAAGTATTAGTAAAAACAAGGATTATTGCGTTTAAAAAGTAAAATATAAAAATGTGAATATCTCGAAAAAAGGATCAGCTACGATTTTGATCTCGGCGGATTTTGAACCTACAAAAGATGTAGAAAAAGGCTGTGAAAGCCGATTTTAGGCACACTTCTATAAAACTTAAGACTGGTTCAAGACCACCGTGTAGTACAATGAATGAAAAAAGACTGATAGGTCTAGCACTTTTACACGTACACATATAGCCTTATTATGTATCTCGAACGAATAGGCAGCACGAACGATGCGTCTACAGAGGAATGCTTCAAAAATTATTCCAGCGGCATTATTCTAGCTGGCTTAAACGGAACCGAGACGATTGCAACGTAATCGATGTAAATCAATACGAAGACGACCGATAGACTAATAAAATCGCAATCAGAGACGTTTACGTCTGCAGACGAATCGTTCGTGCTGCCTATCGTTCGAGATCAGGGTGTCCAGATTGTTTAAAAAGAAAAGAGCCATTTCTGTAAAAATCGGCAAATGTTTTTTTTTAATAAAATTCATTAAATCGGCTTAAAATTTTTTTATTTTAAAAATGAGATCTTGTTATAACATAGTTTTTAAAACCAAAAACGAATGTAATGCCTTCAGGGTAATAATAAATAACACAAATCACTTATATGATAGTGATGTACAAACAATTTTCTTTAAAAATATTCATACTTTTAGAAAATATTTGTATTAACACATTTCCCAATAGGACTGCGCAATTAATAAATTTATTATAACCAGGCAACGGATTTTTAGGACCTAAAAACCTATAAAAATGGCAAAATAAAATAACGAAATAGGCTGGAAAAGGCGAAATAAAATAGCGAAAAAGGCAGGAAAAGGCACTAGGTATTTCAAAAAAAGCAAAATAAGGCACTAAAAAAAAGACAGAAGATACGAAGAACAATCAAACAATGCATTTATTTTAGAAATGTTTATATTACAAGTAAAAAGAGAAAAACTATGAACTAGTTTCATTATATGAAAAATTTGTACTTTGAATCTTTGACTATTTTATCCTTTCGAGTTTCTAACTCATAAAACTTTAATCCGTATAGTTGTAGTAACATTGAACCACAAGATGCATTTTGAAGTTTTCTGGCAGCATTTTCATTCGATTTTCGCGAAGAAAAACCTTGAATGTACTAAATGTGCGCTCGACGTAAGTTGATACAAGTGGAGCCCAATTTAAATATGGAACGTTCGAAACGTACATATTATCAGGAATAAGGGTGTTTTCCTCGCCCTTTACAATTTTATCCACACCCCTTATTGTCTCCAAGCCTACGTTAGCTGAGAAAACGGCTTTGAATTTTTCCAACACCAATTTGGCAAGAGGTCCCTGCGCTTCTATAAGCCGCATGGGCATGTGTATATTTTTTAATCTTAAAAAAAATTTTTAAATGCTATAATAACTTTTTTAAAGGAAGAAAAGGCAAAAAAGGCAAATATCTTAAAAAAGGCAAAAAAGGCAACATTAAATGTGTATATATGGAATCAGGGAAAGCTAAATCGTAGAAATTCTTAATCTAATATACTCTATCTCTTTAGAAGAAAAAAAGGCAATTTCCATAAAATCCGTTCCCTGATTATAACTCATATTAATTGATTAATCGCACTATCCGCTTTTAAGCGCTCGGCGCTAAAAATAAAATAAAAGGTATAATAA